CTTTTTTTTTTTACGTTTTCTCCATTTCACGATACGTGCACCAAACGTGCGGATTTCTTCCTCTTTCTTTCTTTCTTCGGGTCCGTTTTTCGCAATTCGAAAATGACACACTTGTCGCGTTCAAGACTATCTTTCCCTTTTTTTGTGCCTTCTCGATGCCCAATACGGATAATTATACTCAATGCATAAAGGCAGCTCGCCTTAACGATATCTTACCACACCTGCCGCGTGCGTGTGCGCCGCGTCTCTCTTTCTCTCTCTCTCTCTCTCTCTTTCTCTCTCTCTAATTGTATGTACGAACGTGCCAAGAACGTGTGTCTGTAACCACGCCACGTGTCTCTGGGTTCTCGCAGTTCTGGCGATGCATGAGACCATATTGAAATGCCCAACGCCTGGTTGCAACGGTCGCGGTCATGTCAGCTCCAATCGGAACACACATAGAAGCCTGTCCGGATGTCCCATTGCCGCGGCCAATAAGCAGGCCGCACGCGAGGCACGGCAAAAGGTTCAAGGTAAGGCGGTATGCAGGACTCTTCACAGTGCGTGTCCGCAATACCCCGGACACGAAAATCTCGTTGGTGCGTCCACGCGACGAGATTAACGAGATCAAATGCTGGGAACAAGATGAGGCTTATAATTTTGTGCGTAAAACGCGTACCTCGCGTTTCTTTCGCACTTTATTGCGTTCGCGCGTGTCTTGATTGCATGCTTTTTTACTGCGATAAAATTGCGACGATAAACCTGCCCCGAAGTTTTCATACGATTTTACACATTTGCGTTTACTGGTAGAAATGTAGAGGATTATTAGTTGCATACTGATTACAAAATATCGTTGATAGTTTTGAAATAATTTTATAATTGTTTTCACTCCTTTCACTCTCAGAAAGGATTTCTAATTCCGAGAAAAAAAATATTATTGACGTATCTTAATTTTATAGGTCAACTGTATAAAATTATAACTATATTAAAATTAAATCAATAATTTCTCTCTTAATACTTCCTTGAGTAAAATAAGATCGACATCTTATCTTGAGACAAATATGTATAACGCATATAAATATAGATTTATATATTCTTACATTTAGAATAAGTCTATCCAGTGTTATATATGTACAAGATGCTGTAGCATCATGGCAGTGAAGCTGTCGTGGTGTAGCGTGCTAGGTGAGAGACATGCGGAACGAGAGAGATCTTGAGTTTCGAGTCCCAGCCAGTTTTTTGTTGCTAGAAAATGTAAGATTACTAACATTCTGCAAACTTCTTTCCGCAAGAATAGAATAAGAGATTTCCTTTAGATCGATGTTTAATGTTAAATAAATAATATTGTGTTTAACCTAAATTCTTCTATTAAAAAAATTAATGAGAGAGTATCGAGGATATATCTTTATTTTAGAATTTTTCATTTAAGAATAAAATATTCTTCTCTGCAGAATATATACATACGATTAGCACTACATCGATCTTATTTTATTTAAGATCGAGGAGTAACATTGAATATAGAAATATTTTCTTTGAGTGTTGAGTTAGATTTGTATTTTTTAATTTTTACGTAGATTATAATTCGACTCAAAGACACTCTAATAGAGCATCCAGCAGCAATGACCCATACAAACACACACACACACACACACACACACACACACACACACACACACACACACACAAAATAATTTCAAAAAATTTATATATAGTCTTTATATAATATATATAAAATAGACTATCATTTTACAGATATTATATACGTATACATAAAAAATTCATAATTTTTAGGCAATATTCAAAGAGTGTAGAAATAGAATATTATGCACTATATATTATTCAGAACAAAAATTTATTAAGCTTTTATCTTCTTAAGCTGAGCCATTGTAAATATGTTACCGATTGATAATTACATACATGCTATTTTAAACTACTTGGTACTAAGGGTTGCAGTGCTTCTTATAATAAGTAAACAAGTGTAAAATAAAAATTTACAAACATTTTTTATTACGATAATATTTTTTGTTTTATAAAATTTTTTAGTTGACGCACTTTGTTATGCAAAATTTACTAAATACGCAATCTCCTGTGATAGTGCCGGGAATACCACCGGAATACATCAGCACGAATTTGTTACCCCCTTCAATGGACACGAAGAGCTATTCGCAGTACGGTTCCGCAACGCAAGATACGAAACCCGTACTAAGCAGCTTGACCTACGATTACTATTCGACAAAAAACGCTGTGATTAATGTGAAGCCTCCGAAAACGCCGGAGGACAACAGCACGTCGCGTCCCGCGAAGGTGCCCAAAACAGAGAATATGACTCTTAGCAGCAGTTGCTGCAATACGTTATCTATGAGGAATCAAAATACGGGTGAGTTGTTGGTCCCTAAAACGGAGGATGCTGCGTCTTGCAGAGTAAACTCGCCTCCACCACCACCGCCTCCTGCAGTACGACAAACGTACGATTCTTACATGAGCCAAGATTCGAATTCCTCATCCATGTCATCCATGGACGCGATGGGTTCGAGGGCATCCATAGGAGCGACGATCCATCATCCAAGCCAGCATCCGACACATCACGTGCTGCCAATGCAGCCCGTCGCCTATCCGATGCCAATGGTGGAGGATACCAGGATGAGCCATCAAATGTCCCAAAGGTCTCCTTATGAGTCTAGCGCCATGATGGCCGCTGCAGCGGCCGCGGCAGCAGCCGCAACCACCACAGAAGAGCTTTATCATCATAGATCAGCCGAACACGCGAGAGCGTACATGCATCCTGGTACCAGCAACATCGCACGACCAGTAGTGACGTATTCCAACGACATAACTGGCAGAGGCTACGAGAATGCGATAGTCAGTGCAGCCAATCATCGACCCTATGATCCTGGTACCACTGCGACATACGAGAGATATGATACGCAGTCTTGCGCACCTATCCCCTCTCAGCAACAACAGCAGCAACAACAGCAGCAACAGCAGCAGCAGCAACAACAACAACAGCAGCAGCAGCAGCAGCAGCAGCAGCAGCAGCAGCAGCAGCAACTTCATTCAAGGGCAAATATGTACTATCTGGGACAAACCGGCATGACGCCAGAGGAGCAAGAGCGAGTTTATCATCAAGAAGCTGCGGCAGCTGCTCAACAGCATCAAATGGCGATGGCCGCCGCCACGGCAGCCGGAATGATAAAGACTGAAGATGGTAATTTTATCAGACCGTCTTTGCAAATATACAAAACTCATTTGTATAACTAAACGTCGCGTCTCCGTGAATGTTGCAGTGAAATGTGTCACGGTCGCGCAAATGCAACAAATGCAGAAACCCGGTGGACCGCCTACCTCGCCCGGGGGATCAGTGATGGATTTGTCTACCTCCAGTGTTACGTCCACTAGCCCGCAGGTTAGTTAAAAATAATATATACAAAAAGTATTATTCGAGATCTGCGTGATCATCATCAATGACGTGATTTACAGGCACCACCCTACGGTTCGAACAGCCTCAGTCCACAGTATGGAGGAGGGCAGACGGTAGGAAGTAGTCCTCAAGCTGCAGCAAGTCCCCACTTAACGGCTAGTCCTCAAGTTCCTAGTCCCCAGGGTCAGACTCTCGATCTTAGCGTCAATAGACTCCACAGGTATACGTTAATTTTCATATTTATAGTTATTAACAAATACTAAGAATAAAGTCTGAGACACAACTGGAAAATACAGACAATAGGAACAGAAATAAAAGATTTCGACCTATTATATATACACACACACAGTTTCTAATAAGTTGAAATCTATTATTCTCTGCTCCTGTCGCTTGTGCTTTATAATTGTGTCTCAGATTTAAGATTTAAAAATCTCAGTCTTTAAGAAAATTGTTTTCAAGCTCGCTGGCGTTAAAAAATAAAAATTATTTTAATAGAGGATTTAGAGTAAACAAGAATAGTGTTAACAATAAGTATAATAGAAACTTATGATGAAATCATTGTAGCACTTAGGACAAGTAGATGAAAAAGATATATATATTTATCTGTATTGCAGCGGTGCACCCAGTCCGCAGTATTCTACCGGCCATGGGGAAGCCGTCGCGGTTCCAGTGGGTCCGGGTTTTCCAGCCCCACGACCGATCGAGGAGCAAACGGAGCCCGTTGATTTCTCAACGGCGAACGAGCCGGTCAATTTCAGCGGGGGTCCGGGGATCAGGCCTGTACCCGGGTTTCCGCCGCCTGGAGTGCACGTCACGGCGTACAGTCGCGAAAGCACACCCGACAGCGGGGGTTCCCACTACATGGACGCCTACCGAGATCCCACCGGTGAGTTATCATCATTTATCTCATAACTCTGCAGATAATCTATCATCCGCATTCCAAGGACGTTTTATGATCACATTTAATAGCATGGTTATACAAAATTATTGTGTAAAGTAAATTATACATTTTATTTTAAAATTTATTATAAAATTTATTTATTTATTATAAAGTTTATTAGTAAAATTTATTAATTTGTAAAAGTCATTAGTAAAAGATATTTTTTAACAGTTTTCTGAAGTAACTGAACGGGCATGTATTATGTTCTTTTTTGTTTCGAATTAATAATATTTAATGTAAAAACTGTTCTTTGCATAATATCTCGATACCAAGAAGCATTACCTTACTCATTGGAATACTTGTAACAATTAACAATAACAATTATATAATCTCTAATATTTAAACGTCTAATATTTACGTTTTGCTATGCAACAACGTTGAATCATAATTCACTGCGAAAATTTGATGACGGAGAATTTGCACGATTGGTGATGTCAGATGAAGATAGAGCGAAAAAAGCAAACATGGAAAAGGACGCGACAGGGTGTCCTTAACACTATAAATTTTAACTGGTATATATACACACCCCATACACACACACACACACGCGCGCGCGCGCGCGTGCAACACAGGAGATACACACGAAGCGTTAATGTGTCCTTACACAGGCGTCGTGTAACGTCAGGTGATAGCGGGGGAAATGCGGAGGAGGTGCGTGGACGAGGGATTCGGAAGAGAACAAAGAGCCCGACGCCCCCGGGGGTCGGCAAGGGTGGCGAGGGACGTAGATAGGGATGGGGGACGATACGCGGTTACAACCGTCGAATAAAAATTCACCAGAACAGTACATGACTGCCATAATAGGCACCTATGGTCGAACTCTCATTTTCCTCGGTCTCTCTGTACCTTGGCATTCCAAACCCGCGGCCGATTCTCCCCCTTCTCATCCCTTCCTTCTTCTCTCTCTCTCTCTCTCTCTCTCTCTCTCTCTCTGATCGGTTCCCTCGTTTTCTCCGTTTCCATCTCTCTCTTTCTCTCTCCCTTCGTCCTGAATGTGCACCGTGCGCACCCTTCCCGTCGAACCACCCCCCTGTGACGGTACACGGCCATTGTTAATTATCAATATTTCGCGTACACGTAGCGCCGGCAAAAGTCCGGCGCGGCCGATATTGTGCGGACTCTGACGCTGGGGAGTAGTTATTGAAATTGAAACATTCGAGCACACACAGCGCCGTGTTCCCCGGCCTCGACGCACACAGGGCACCGCCGTGTTCACGCGACGTCGCGCGAGCGCGCACAGTCGGCCTTCCGTCCGTCGGCTATTTGCGTTGCGTGCTCTCTCGACAAAATGAATTCTTGCCAGTAAATAAACGTGTAGATTTTACAACAGTTAATCAAGCAGCGGGCTGCTCCTGTAGTGCGCCTGTGTTCGCGCTACTTCCGCGTCTCTCCCGTTCGAGTGCGCGATTACATGGCATGTATGTACGTATTTAGGCAGAGTGTCCTAGAAATCATACATTTTTCCATATATATCATAAAAATCAAATTAAAGATCATACCAACTCGCTCGGTATCAACATCTCAGTAGATATATCAATTTGTGAATCATTGTTTGTATCTACAGAGAACTAATGGATTTTCTAACAAAGTAAATGTTGAAAACAGAAATGGATAAGAGGAAGTAATCTTTTTCCTCAATACGTTTCAAATTGTCAATACTTCATTATAAATTTATCTTAATATTTAATTATCAAAGTATCCAATATCGAAGAAATTGAAAAGCACGTTATTAAGATTTTTTTTATTGAACATAGTATCGCGCATTTTCCAAGTAAGATGCTTTCTATTTCACGCTGGATCAACATATTTTTACTATTAGGAAACTGTTGACTGTTACATTTCTTATTTATACACCATCTTTCATATGTCAGGTTATGGACCCATGAGTCCTCATCCAGGATACGGGATGACCGGCGTTCAACCCGAATATCCCGGAAACACGTACACCCCTTACCCAACTGCAGGTTATAACTGCGGTGGAACTTACCCAGGTGGCCCAGTGACTTCCGGTTATCAGATTCCAGCGGGTTACACTCCGGCACCATGTTACAGCATGCCGCCCCCGCAGCACACGGTTGGACCCCTCGATAAACCATCTGGCAAGGACGACAGGTAGGATATCTCTTTTATCCCTTTTGAATGGGACATCGCGATTGTGAGCAATCCGGTTCACAGCAAACTTTTATTTATGTACTGTAGATATATGAGTTTATGTCCGTCGGTGAAATACAAATCGTTATTGTAAATTAAACATTTGAGAGAGTAGAAAATTTTATTTGAAGATTTTAATACTATTTTATAATATCTAACTATTTGATTTGAAGAATACATTCATTAAATCTATCAGATTGGCCGATATATTTTCATTGCGTATTTAGCATTTTATGCTATTTTTCTTTAATTTCAAATTTGTTCTTTCACTGTATTCAACGTGTATTATTTTGATGAAACTTAAAAGCAAATAGTCATCCATTTGTAAATCCGCTAGATACGCGATGAGAATCCAAATCGTTATTTAGCGTGAGGTAGCACTATTAGAGAATACGTCCACACGTCGTGCAGGCGAGCGTCGCGAGTTCTCGCCTTGGTACTTACTTGCCTTGCCGAAAGGATCGCACGAATCCTTCACGCGATAGATTCGTGGCCGAAGCTTGAAAAGGCGTGGAGACAGTGGCGGTGGCGGCGGCGACGGCGGCGGCAGCGGCAGCGACTAACATCAGCGATGGAGGGCGAGAGGAAAAGGGGGCAAAACTCGCGCATACCCACCTCCATTTTGTTAATTAAAGTAATTACTCTTCGTACCGAAAGTGCCAACCTTATTCTAATTGACGTGAAGCTCGGCGGTATGGAGAAGGCACGGTTGGGCGTATAAGAAGAGAATGAGGATGAGGCTCGAGTGGAAGGCGCGCGCGTGTAGGGGAAAAGGGGTGCTGGGGTTGAGAGGGTGCGGAGGCGAGGTAGGATAAGGTTAAAATGAGTAGGTGGGGTATAATCAGTTGCCACCGCACTGGATTATGGGCCGAGACCCGGCGTCGTCCTCCCCGCCGTGGTGTGTGGCGTGGGTTAGAAACCCAGAGAACACCTCCTCGGCTACCTCGAGGCGAAGTTGCCTTTCGTCCCTTTTGTAATTTTACCACGGTCCAAAATTCGGTGCGTCGCGTTCCACGAATCTCACGAATGTCTTCACGATGAACGAAAATGTGGAAATCGAATCGATATTTTATCGGAAGTTTTAGATGACAATATTGATAATATGTGCAATATTTACATTTGCGCGGAAATATAATCGTGAATCTACTGTGTACATTATTGCATAGAGATAAATATTATATCGGCAAATCTTTATTCAACGTAAAACTGTAAATAAGAAAGTATGAAATAGTTTGTATTTCAAAAAGAGGGAAACTAAATGATTAATTTTTAATTCAGTATTGTATCTCATATGTTTCAATTTTCATTTTAGAAATGAGAAACATTTAATAATCTTATTTTTTAAATTACAGTCTTAATCTACAATACTTCATTATATACTTGTAACGTTATATTTATTAAATGTTTAATTAATGATAAGAGTGAGCACATTTAGTAAATTATGTCTTTTTATTGCACAAATTTAATTTGAGAAGTTTATGAAATGATTATGTTCAATGATTTCCTCACGATATTAATCTTTCCACGTTTCTCCTCCTTCTCATTAATTGTATCTTTATTGAATTGCTATAACGTTGAACATGTACGACCAACTAAAACCTCGGTCAAACCAATCTATATCAGAACTTGAACTTTATTAATAGCAGCAGGCAATATAAACTACCTTCGCTTCCTAACTATATTATTAGTCTCGTCTCTTGGACGTTTTTATTAGTGTACGTCCCAATTCGGATCAACCACCTAAATTTGTGAAAATATCCAATAATCGATATAGGAATAAATAAATCTTAATTTTTTCTAAGATGAAGTTTTTTTTAATTCTTGCTTAAGTTCTCAAAATCTGTTTACCAAAAATTAAAAATAATTAAATTTTCCGAAAGATTCGTTTTTATTGTTACATAATGATTTTTATATTTGCTTATCAATAATCGTACACCATA